TTTGTTGTAGGCATTTCCAATGTTTGTGACAACATGTTTGAAGATCAGAGTAGTGTGGTCATTAAAGGGTCCAGTATCTCCTTCACCTTGTTCCAGCAGAGAGGCTGAGAAAGCCACCTGTGTGACTGAGAGAGAGAGAAATGTCATTAATATTCACAACCTTCAGTAAAATAACAATTTACAGTTTTTATTGTCACAGAATCAAAAAAGAAAAACATTAGCTGTTTTCTGTGTTTATGGGAAATGATTGTTGTGCTGACCAAATATCTGAAAAGACCTTTGCATTCATTTGAGCTGTAACCAAATGTGTCACACGTACATGACCACCCACCACTTGTCTCATTGTGAGCCATTAAGAGGCATTAAAGGAAGATCTTCATGTCGACACGAAGCCAGTTTGTGGTTTATTTAGCAGATATGAAGGCACTTAAAACATGAAACAATCTGCTAAATAAATCAATTGAAGACTTTACAGTCAGTGTGTCTTGTAAATGTTTACATTAACAGTCAGAGTCATGGTGATTTCAGTACCTTTCAGCTCCTGCTTTAACTCGACAACCTCAGACTTGTGAGTCTCCAGCTCTTCCAGCTTTGCTGCATGATCTGAATAAAATGAGTAAAGGAAAAAGTTTATCATTTTCTCTAGACACAACATTAATATTTGTGTAATATTAACCAGCTGAGAGTCGTTGGTGTTGCTTGGAGCTGGTGTGTTTGCCTGTGTGGGATGATTACCTTGCAGCTGCTGCTTCAGCTTATCAATCTCAGTCTTTTGACTCTCTGCTTCTTTCAGTTTTGCAACAAGTTCTGAAAAACAAATTATAAACAACTTTACATTTAAGTTTAGTGGCCCGTGATGTAGTGATTCACCTTAGAAACACAAAGATTCTGTGTCCCAGGAGGAGATGCAAATATTTTGGATGTTGTGTCAGGAAGACCATCCGTGGAGCTACATGCTGTGATAATGGTACTTCTGTAATTCCCAAAGGTAATATTTTACCTTTGTTATGTTCTTTTAAGGTTCTGATCTCCACTTTCTGTTCGGTCAGTGAGGCGGTCATCTCTCTCAGCACAGCATGGATGTCCTGTGGACAGGGTGGCTGGAGTGGAGTCTCAGGCTGATCTGCTGAAATAGAGCAGACCAGAAGCAACGGCAGGAAAAACATGATGATCTCCATTCTGTCGCTGGATAACTGCTGTGCAACTGTACTGTCTGCAAAGTGAAGCTTTTTATAACATAAATGAGGAGGTTACTGCACCACCTCTCAAACACACACCCACACTGCCCCCAACACATCCTGTGTAAAAGCTGCTTGTGTCAGTACAACACAGGTATGTAAGTAACTGTGAGTCTCATTCTGTTCATGCTACACTGAGCGGTGGTCTCCTCCACGTCCCCTCAGCCTCCACCTCACACACTGCAGAGACACAGGACCACACCTCCTACAGGCGGTGAATTATTATTATTTTTTTTTTTTACTGTCCCATTTGGTTCTTTAGCCGTCAGAATTGTTGTCTGAAGACCAACAAGGAGACCCAATGGATTTACTTTGCCAAATGGATCATCGTGGCATTGCCGTATCGGTCCATTTGATCGACCTTCGTTTTTATTATTTATTATATTTTATTTTCAGATGTTACAGACGGGACAGACACGAGTGAGGGATAGGAAAGGGAGAAAGAAAGAGGAAGGAAAGGAAAAACAGAAGGGGAGAGGGACAGTGAGAAAGGAAAAAAAAATCACCTGGATCACCTGTTGAGAGAAGAAGAAGAGAAAACAAGCAAAAAAAAACCCCAAAGCAACATACTAAACACAACACCATCGCATTAATCTAGCTAAGTGTAAACAGCAGTAAATACTAAATATTCAATGTTGTTGTGCAGCAAGCAGGACAGACAGCGCACAATGTGCTTTGAAGTAGCAGCCAAGAAAGGTGTAATTTAAGTCTACGAGCAGTGAACACCCGTGTGCACACCTGTGTGGGTCAGCGCGCTTGTATTCAGAAGGTTTCCACATGTAATGGTATCCAAGAGTTTGCTGCGAGCCATAGCCCCGTCCCCCAGGGTATGAAGCAGGCATGGAGGAGATCCAGGCCCCAGACATCCAGAGGCTCCCAGAGCACGAGAGCCCAAGGAGGACCACCGGAGGGGCATCCGTGCCACCCTCATGGGAAGGGCTGAGGATCCCCAGACGAGGCGTCACCCAGTAGCCACCGAGCAGAAGCTAGAGGGGGCTGCACCGGCGTGCCCGCCGGCTCTGCCGGCAGCCAGCTGTGCCAGAGTGAACCGACCTGCAGGCCCAGAGGCCTGAGGGCCCCCCGCTCCCCGGAGGAGGCCTGACCGAGCGACAGGCGCCAGGCCCCGCCAAGTAACCACCGGGAGTGAGCCGGTACATACCTTAGCGCCCAGGCCCAGACACCAAGAACCACCAATGCACCGACCCCTGAGGGCATCAATCACCGGCAGGGAGTGTGGTGAGGGGAGATAGGCCTGGGAGGGCCTCGGAGTTCCCAGAGAACGTGGCGGTGAATTATTAAAGAAGCAGACTTTGACTGGGAATTCTGGGGGGCAGAGGTCCCCCCCCCCCCTTCAAAATGGTCAGATACAGATACTGAACTGAAAACAACAGCTTGTGAGAAGTCCTCCAGAAAACGTGGAGAACTGTTTCTCAAAATGATTTTCTAACATTTAAAGATAGTCTGGCTTGGAAGCAAATTATAGAGAAATAAGAGGCTAAACTGGTAGAAAGTCATTTCATGGAAATCATTTATATTCTTCTTGTTTACATTAAACTTCCAAAGACAGCACATGCACTGACCCATTTTACTGCCGACTGACAATCGTTCACAGTAACTTGTTTTCCTTGTAGCCTTTTAAATGGTACTCATAAACATTACAATAGCCAGTGATTTATAAGGCATAGTAATGTCCTCAGTTATCTTAGGAAAGGTGGCTACGTCATCTTTGTACTGTGTAATATAAAAGTCAGTCAGGTTTGCAGATGACACAGATACGGTTGAGATTTCACTGACAGAATGGAGATCATGGTGTTTTTCTCGCTGCTGCTTCTGGCCTGCTCCGTTTCCACAAATCCGACTGAGGCAGATAATGAAATTGTTGACCAGCAGATTTCAAACCAACAACCCTGTCAACAGGACATCCATGCTGTGCTCAGAGAGATGGCAGTCTCACTGGCTGAACAGAAGATTGAGATCAGGACATTAAAACAAGATAATCAAGGTACAGTAGTGTGTGTTTCCTATGACCAACGTTTGTGTCACAGTGTCATTTCATAAATATTCACAATGACAAAAATGACATAATGATGGATTGGATTTATATAGCGCTTTTCAAGGCAATCTTCAAACAAAGATCTAAATAAAGTTGTTTTTTAGAGCATGTAACAAAACTAGAGAGGCAGATGACTGAGTTGGAGAGGCAGAAGGCTGAGATTGAACATCTGAAGCAGCAATCAAAAGGTAATGTAATCAATTAAGTTATGATTGTTTCAGTGAACTTATGAATGCCCACATCATAAATATTTTCCAGTTGTTAAAGAGGAACAACCCCTAAATATCTCAGTGTAATCCTTTGACCCGAATGTAACTATCTTAGTCTGCTGTTTGCTGCTTTTAAACACAATCGTATAGTTGGTGATCGAATCCACAGTTTTATTATCTGAAATGCTTTTTTTGCCCCACTGTACAACCTCAGCAACTCTCAAATAATAAAGCTAAAACAAATAAGCTGATAGACCTTAAAACAGGAAAAAATAAAAGCCTAAAAGAAGCAGAACATGAATCCAGGTCACTAACGTGGGGGGTGTAACTGGAAGAATATTTAGCATTTATGCTATTATAAAGGAGGTCACCACACATTGGATTATTGTACGTCTTATCACTTTGTGGAGCTTATAGGTTTCTTTTAAAGTACAACATCATATTTAGTATCCAACACTTAATCTAATTAAATTTAGCTGGTGAATAGGCACCAACCATGACATGACTACATCACTGCATAACAAAAACATTTATGTCAGCAAATTGTTTTTGATTCTCAGAAAAAAAACAATAGTCCCATTGCACTGTGTTAACAAAGAAAACATTAAACTATGAAAAAGAAATCCTCAATTGAAGGAAAAATGTTTAAATCAAAAACAAAAGTTTAAAACAATCCACCTTCCTTCTCTCTCAGTCAAACAAGTGGCTTTCTCAGCATCTCTGTTGGAGGGTGGCTATGGATATACTGGACCCTTTAATGTACAGATTACTTTAGTCTTCAGACGTGTCATCACAAACATTGGAAACGCCTACAACCCACAAACAGGTAATAATAATGTGTATCGTGTTCCTGAAGTGTTGATGTCAATGTGATCTGTTGTAGATGCTCTAACAGTTCATTTTCTATTGAACAGGTATCTTCATTGCTCCAGTGAGAGGAGCCTACCACTTTGAGTGGCACCTACATGGACATGCATACAAATCTCATCCCATAGCTGGTGTGTTGTTCAGGAATGGAGAGCACATTTTTCTTGCATTTGAACTGCAGGCATCTGGTACTGTGAGCACTTCTTGTGGTACCTCACTGCTTCTAGAACCTGGAGATCAGGTGTCTTTGCGTCTCTGGGCTCATGCCAGGATTTTTGATGGTGTTAATCATGACACCAACTTCAGTGGTCACTTGCTTTTCACCGTGTGAGATGTGTAAGAACTCCAGAACAACTTTCTGTTTCAGCTTTCCTGTATGGGTGAAGCTTTAAGTAGCAATGCTTAAATACGTCTTAGAATAACTTCTAAGAAGGAGTCATCAGCTATTTGATCTATTTTGTGTTTAGTTTAGATTTCTACCACTCCTCTGCTGACACAGATAATGTTTAACTTCCTTTTATGTCCTTTTATGTATCCTGCTTTCGTGTGTTGGTCAATTTCTTTAACCTGAACTTACCTAGCCTAGCAGATGGTGAAGTTATTTCAGTTATATTGGTAGTACACAGATTATTAACCATAGTTGAGTTTAGACCCTTTTAGAAATCAACCACCCCAAATTTCATCACAGCACCCCTAAAAATAACAATAGTAATAGTAGTGAGTGTATTTTTGTATTATTTTCTGGAATTATCTTCAAATGTATTATTTTCCCAACTTTTTTATTAACGACAAAATGGAATGCTGGAACATTACTGTGACTTATAAAGAGTCTGCTAATAAGTATTTGTTCTCTAAATAGCATCAAAAATATTAACTAATGTAGCTGAAATCGCTAGAGATTATTGGCTAATTTGAACCTTCTAATCCACTAGTTTGCTGGGATATTGTGAGTTGCCAGTTAAGAAGCTGATATACTTTATCATTTTAGTTTGTTAAAAAATTCTGTTCCTATTCTGGTCAAATTGGGCTTCAGTGTTTGTTTACAATACAGCTCCAGATCCAGGTGATAGGAAGTCAAACTGATGTTACCTGTCAGTGTCCAGCAGTAGCCAGTATTCAGTTTAAATATTGTTGCTAACTGGATCAGTTTATGTCTTCTATACACTGTAACATTTCTCTTTTTTGGGGTGACGGCACAAAGACTGAGAGAGAATAATGGAGAGAGCAGGATGAAGACAGAGAATAGGAAGAAGAAGGGAGCAGAAAATAAAGTAGTTTTTCATGTATTTTATGCTTTGTGTATTTTCTAGTAGCACATTTAAAGATATGCCAGTGGACATTGTAAACAGAGCATATTGACATGAATGGCAGCATTTTACAGGATTCACTCTAAACATGCCTCCAACAGGATGGATGTCACCATATTGATGTGATTGACTACAAATCTATTCTCCACTCGTGAAATTGGGGTACATGATGCTCTTTGCTGAGTCGGCATAATAAAGGAAGTGTTTGTATGAATTCAGGAACTTTAATATAAAAAAAACTATTACTTCATATACAGGTCAGTGGCATGGCAACATGATTTTACAGTGTCTGTACTGAATAATACTACTTTAGTGGACTGCCTCTGTGTGATTAAGAGGAATAATGCTGGGCATGTTTCTCATCTTTTCTGCTTTGCAACAAATAGTTCTTTAACTTCTTTAATGACTGAACCAGTCACAATCTGCAGAAGCAGACTGTGTGGAGTGAGGAGGTGGACCCAAGTGCAGACACACGAAAACAAAACTTCATTTTAACAGAATGTGAGCCGTTTATTAAGGCTGGTTTAAACAGTATCAAAAGGGCAAGTGTGAAACTAAGCGATAACCTAAACTGGGAGAACTAAAGCAAAACATAAAAAACATGAACACAAACAGGGAGCTGGAAACCTGTCATGAGAAACCTGAAACACGACGACTTGGCATAAATACATAGAAATTGGGGTACAGGATGGTACAGGAAGAGTCTCAGACCAAGATATTGAACTATATCTGCAAAGATATTGTGAAATCCTACAACCACCTGTTAAACCAGTCGATAAGTTTGGCCTTTGGTATGGAGTGAGGAAATTTAAGGTGCAGATGAGGAGAGATGAAGCTGGCAACATGGTTGTCATACCTAGGTCAATTTCACTAGGACCCTACCATGGACGAATTATATATCCCAGACAAGTAAATAGGTGTTTCATTTGTCAAGCGCAAGACCATCAAGTGAGAGATTGCCCCACCTTTAAGTGTTGGAAGTGCGGAGGATTGGGTCCAGAAGCAAAAGAATGTCAAAATGAAAGCAAATGCTCCTTCTTTCTTCTTCTTCTTTAATCCCTACCCGGCGTTGGGTCTGGATCGACTCCTAAGCCCATACGCTGCTGTGGGTGCCAATGGTTGTCAAATTTCCTTCACAACTCGTTGCCATGCATAGCGATCGTTGGCGATTGTCCTGGCCTCGTCGAGATTTATTCTGCGATCCCTGTCATCTTTGACCTGTTTTACCCATGTTTTCTTCGGTGTCATTCGGTGGATTCTCTACTGGGTGGGTCGTTTACGCCAGAGGAGTTGATGTGGTAGTCTGCTCACATCCATTCTACACACATGGCCAAACCATCGCAATCGGCATTTATGAATTTTCCCCTCAATTGGCGGTTGGTTGTCGGATCTCCATCGGATGCCCTCTTTTCGAAGGCAGACTCGAAGGGATACTATCTGCCGAAGGCAGCACATATGGACAACTGAGTTTGTTGAGGTCCGCTTTGAGCACCGTCCACGTTTCGGATCCGTAGAGTAGTATCGGCAGGATCAGGATTAAAGTATTATACAAAAAATCATGTGTTCAGATCAAAGTTAATGGAAGGTTGACTGAACAAATAAATGTAGAGAGTGGAGTTAATTTCGGTCGGCGTCTCCCTGTAAGAGCTGTTATAAGGTGGAGTTGTTTTGTGACGACTAAGAAATGCCCTATGGATATGTGTGAGGATGGTGAAACCTTGGATCACCTGCTAATACACTGTTATAGAACAGTGGAAATACGACAGAATGTGGAAAAATTAGGTTTTGATATAAAAAAAAAACAGCATAAAAGCAGTAAGATATGGTATATTTAGAGAAAGATGAGTGAAAATAAAAGAAGATAGTCTTGGTTGGTGATGTGCATTATAAATGTACACATATGGAAAAGAAGGGCTAAAGAGGTTATAAGACAAAGATAAGTGCTCTGTAGTATGTAAACACATTATAGTGGACCTGAGGAGGAAAACTAGAAATATGATATTATGTAACGGTTTGCCGTGGGAGACTTTATCATTGTGAAAAGTGCAGCTCTATATGTTTTAGCAATAAATCCGTTACTCAAGATAATCAATTGTGATAGCCGTTTTACTGGATACATCCTAAACGACTTATGCAAGGTGACAGCCCTTGCTTAAGCGGATGATGTCTCAGTAATTATTAAAGACCAAAAGGAGCTATTAGTACTCAAGGAGTTGTTAACAAAATATGAACAAGCCTCCGGTGCCAAGTTAAACCAGGAAAAGACTGAAGGAGTGTGGTTTGAACAAAACTTGTCATGATCCTGGGTCCTTTTGACCCAGCGTTTTGTGTTTTCTCTTCTTGTGATTTTGGTTCTGTTCTTCCTCTGTTTAGTGTTTACTCTGTTCTGCCCGTGTGTTCCTGTATCTAGTCCCGATTCTTAGTTTGTGTCCTTTCATGTGTAAGTTCCTGTTTTATTGTGAAGGTCTGCGTCTTATGTGAGTGTTTTCAGTTGCCTCCCTAGTCTCGTCACGTTAATCACTCCCAGCTGTGTGTGATCTCCCTGTGTTCTCTGAGTGTATTTAAGTTGTGTCTTCTGTCATAGTCGTTGCTGGTTCGTCTGTGTTGTTTCCCCTCGGTCTCCCTGCAGCTCTCCATGTGTATTTCCCCGGACCTCCCTGCATCTTCGTTTCTGGTTTGTTTTGTTAGTTTTACCCAGTTTAGGTTCCAGTTTCATGTTCCCAGTGCCTTTGTTGTTTGTATTTCCTTCATTAATAAATACTCACCTGCACCAGAGCTGCCGCGTCCTGGTCCTAAATAATTCCACACGGCTTGCAAACCGTGACAAAACTCAAAAGAACCTGTAATTGATTTAAACGCTAACAAAGAGATGAAGAATATAGGTATTTGGATTACTAAAAATGATCCATGTCTTTTGAATTGGAAAAAGAAAGAGAGTGAAATAGAGAATAAAATAGCTGAATGGGACAACAAAAATACAAACTATGAAGTGCGTGTGAATATTGTAAAAACATATGTAGTCCCAAAGTTACTTTTCCTAGCTACTGTCTTTCCCCCTCCTCAGAAAACTGTTATTAAATTAAGTAAATTGTGTACTAAATTGATTTGGTGGACAAACCGCGAAGTAACACAAAGGAAATTAATATACAAAGGCAAAGAAAATGGAGGATTAGGAGCACCAGATCTCATTTTGGGGTATCATTTTGATGATTCCCTTTTTGAAAAATATATATAGCGCATTAGAGCGAAGCACCCACTGGATCCAAGGGGAAAACATGAAAGAGAGAGCCCGAACGGGAGTGCCATACTTTAAACTTGTGTTCGGGGATTTTGTAGATCAGTGTGTGGTTTAAATCTTTTACAATTAAACTCAAAACAAATATATAATAAAATCAATCTGGAAGAAAAAATGAAGGTATGATATGATATACGTTTGCTGAAAAAGATGAAAATCAGAAAATAGTTAAAAAGATATATGACAAAGTAATATCCGAGAGCATGAGAGATACAGTGTGGTTTATCTCTGTCGGATGTCTCCCACTAAGAGCTGTGGTTCTGTGGAGTTGCTTTGTTACTACAAAGAAATGCCGCATGGAGAATTGTGATGAAGACGAAACTCTTGATCATCTGTTGCTATCATGTTACAGGACGGTTGAAATAAGACAGAAGATGGATAAACTCGGATTTGATATTGAAAATAATATAAAAGCAATAAGATATGATTTGTTTAAAAAAAAGATGAGTGGAAATAAAAAGAAGATTGTTTTGATTGGTGATGTGCATTATAAATGTATACATATGGAAAACAAGGGCTAAAGGGATATAGAACAAAAAATGATAAGTAGTTCTGTAGTATGTAACAATATTGTAGCGCACCTGAGGAGGAGGAAAACGACTTGCCGTGGGCGTTTTTATCATTGTTAAATGTAAAACAATATAATGTGAATACTTTGTGCATGGTGTTTATGTGATGTGTATTTGTAATTTGCGATTTTGATATTTAAATAAAGTATTTAAAAAAAAA